TCAGGCCAAAAAGTATATAGAAGACCAAGGTATATATATATATATATATATATATATATATATATATATATATATATATATATATATATATATATATATGGCAGCCTGCTAGCGGTGGTCGCATTTTTATATTTATGCATTCTGATTGAAACATACGGTTTCAAACTTCAGGCTTTCAAGTTTCAGGGGTGGAAAGAGAGTGCTGTTTCTCAGAGGTAGGTATGTAACGATAGAAAACAAGAAACGCGGTAAATTTGATATTTCTATATAAGCAAATGATGTAGGGGTTGTCTTTAATGCAGCATTTACCTAGATCTCCCGTGTTGTCCTACTTCTGGCCTTCCTTTATATACTGTGTTTCTTACACTTCCTTTTGCATCATTCTCGTTCTCTGACATCAAATCTATCTCTCCTGCTGTTTGATTTTTTAACTCCGATGAACGTCTATTTATATATGCATACTACTGGTGAATATTATCATTAGCACACTCCAAAGATTCGCTAGACTCAAACATGAAATTTCCTCTAGGCGTTGCCTGGGAATCAAAACCGCACCATAGGCGCAGTTATCGAGAATTCTACCCCTAAATCAAAGACGTACGTGGTCGGTGGTCGTCATCACTACATGAACTGAGTTGTAGTAGACTGTTTTCGTAAAATTCTGTCCAGAATAATGTGGTCAAATAAGCTTTGGTTTTTCAGTCTTATTTATCAAAACGATAATATGAAAAAGAATACTTTTATATTTGAAGAAGGAAAGAAAACGCCTCAGTGTGGTTAACTTCTTTCCTTTCTAAACAGTCAGTTTGTTCAGCAGTGGCTGACTACTGATCTAGTGTTCGTTATGTGACTGAACTATTCATTCTAAGCCATCGAAAGTCTGTGTGTGTGTGTGACTTTTCAATTGGTTATGTTCATCAGGAGTACATAGTACAAGGCTTTCTAGACGTATTAGTTGTCACGTCAGCTGTCGTTATAAACAGAAAAAGCATTGCAGACTTAAAATAATTTTTAGAAGATACGAGAAAAATGAGGAAATTGAGGAAAGAATGTTGTTAGCGATAATTTCCTTTTCTGGCTGGACAGTTATATATATATATATGCATATTTATATACATGGAATATTCTAAAATAGTCGTCATTAACAATAATGGTGTTCTTTTAACAAGTTTCGATTTTTTAAGATGGCTGAAATTACAGTGCAAAAAAGATGCATAAGTTCTAGTAAGCAGATTAAGGAAATCTCTACAAAATATTAAGGGCCATTAAAACTTTGATAGCTTGGGTAAGGAAAGTGGCTGAAGCAACTTCTTCTTTTCAATACATAGGTTGGATTTCTTTATGTAGATTCCAACAGCTACAGCAATATGTAAGAGGGGAACTTTTGAGGTGAAATTTAGCTCAGTTAGTATGCGGTAGATGACTTTGGAAGCTGCCTTGTGTACATTAATTTTGTGTTCTATATCCACACGATGAGGTAGAATAGAACTATGAATGGACTTTGTTTGCCTCTTGCTTAATCACGCAGGATGGTATTCAGAAATCCGACGATAAACATGCCTAACTGTACGGCCTATGTAACTAGCTAGACAGGAGCAGTCAAACTGATAGATGAATATAGAAGAGAAGTTGGGTAGTATATCTTTAACCCGCGAAAAAAATAATGGTGGTTTTCAAGAGACAACACACTTCAGTGACAGTGAATACTCTTTTCACCATATTCTTCAAGCGTTATGTTTTTATTTCACTTGTGTTACCACCGAGTAACCATAGCTGTAAGAACAAGGCTTTTATCACATCTGTTGGTACTTTGGATTGCTTCGGCCTTAGATTCCTATTCATATCGATAAATTTTCTTGGATAACCGTTGTCACTCAGCAACTGTTTAATAATACTGAGCTCTTCATTAAGAAATTCATCTGAACAGCTTGTTTTTGCTCTGTAAACCAAGCATTTTATTAGATGGCATTAGTATTTTAAAGGTACGAAGCTAAAAACGTAAGTATACTGTATGCACTTCTTTTCATTGTACCGCCCCTTCTTCTAGTCATTCTGACGTCTAGGAATAAATACTACGGTCTCTTTCTTTCTCGATGGTAAAATATATTGCAGGATGGGCACCGTTAAATTCGTTAATGTGCGTCGGTGGCACAATGGTTAGGACTCTCGCCGACCATGCACATGGTCCGGGGTTCGAGCCCACGCCGACGCACACCTGATATCTATGGTGGGCCTGCGAATTTTGGCCTACCGATATCCACGCTGAAAATCCCACACTTGTACCAAAAATACGGTGTGGAATCAAGCTGTAATCAAAAATATGATAAATAAAATATTCTTTGCTTAAACCTCATAATCGAAAATGTGTCATCCATGTATAGACAGTAGAATTCTATTTCATCAGTCACTCCTTTCAAAGGCTCATTCTTTAGTTTTGCAAGGAAAAGACCTGGTACAATAGATCCTAGTGGTAACTTCATTGCACTGATGGTTCTGTACTGTCTCATCTCGTCGATACAGAACACAAAATTGTCCGGCTTTTCACTGGTAGATCAAGCAGTTGCCTAGAATTTGGTTGCTGAGATGACTCTGAGTGAACCATTGCTTTTATTTACCTAAACACACAAAACCATGATTTGGGTTTTCTGAATTGTCTCAAATTCGGCTTACTAACATTACAGGTTGATTGCTTTAACAGATTTCTTAAAAATCAGTTAGTTAGTAGTATATATGGCCTGTTGTTTTTGTGATTTCTACAACTGACACTTTCACAAATTGAGCATACTTACAACAGTCATCTAACTGACGTATGGTGTTCAGCTTTTCAGAAACGTTTTTAAGTGTTAGTTTGGGGGAATCTGATCAGATTCAAGTTTGATCAAGGATTGCTAACAGATTAATATAAATACAAAACTACTCATATCAAGCAGTCTCCTTTCCATTCTTTGCATACCGAGTAGAATATGAAGCTCCAAGGTTTTCACATTTCAAAAGCTCTGGTTTTATTTTAAGTGAGAGGCGTGGGGTAGCCAGCTACACATTCAGCCTTCTCCTTTTTCTGAAATTAGAACAGGCTAGTAAACCAAGTCAGATTTAAGGGGCTTTCGGTTGGAAATGGAACCAGTCGAAATTCACCTGTAGCTGGTGGGAATTGTACTATCGAACAACTGATGCATTCATCAAATAGTAACTTTGATGAATTCTCATATCAAACTGTATACTATGCTAATGATGAACTCGAATCGGGAATAACACGTGTATAAGGAATTCATAAAATTTTCCGTGGTACATCAGTACCTTACTAGTAAAATATTCGCCTATCACCCAAGTGGTTCTAGTTCGATTCCCAGCTGCTGTATTCCCGAAGCTTTCCCAGCCGTTAGTATTACCTATACAGACAGAAGGTTGACTGCAAAGACAAGATATCCACCCCGCAAAAATTACTTCCCTCTCTACTGAAGCACCAACTTCCATTTTGAACATAAATGAATGAAGAGGAAGCAGAAATTCTGTTAGGCGAAAATTCCCACATTAACAGTGATGGAAGATATCTTACAATCCTGTTGAAATACCGGGAAGTAACAATTTCGACATGAAGGAAATTAGTGTTGGAGGGTATAAGCATACTTAGTGATACGATGTCATAAAGCCTTCTGTTTCTTCTTCTTTCTTACTCATTTATTACTACTGAAATGTTTTGATGAGATCTCCCTTTGATACTTTTGATCAGAGGTTCCTTATACACTTCTTTATTCAACTCACAACTCAATTTTTGGATACTTACTACCGACTAGGCGAGGTTAAGGAGCGGGTGCGTCCACCGGAAAATGGAAATCGAACTTCCAGAATGACTGGCGAGCATTCCACCACTGAAAAACACTCGCATATGTGTGTGTATATATAGTTGTCGTTAAAATTCATTTGATGATGATGATCTTGTGTGTTCAAGGCTTCGCAACAAAGTTACGGAAACTGTCATGCATAAATCCAGCCAGTAAACAGAGTAAAATAATTAATGCATATATTGATGATAAGGATTAATCACTCCTGAGAACTACTGGACAGACAGATAGATAGATGGATAATCAGTAATATTTGATTCTTTCTGGAAGCTTTTCAACCGTTCAGTCACTATCGACATCGACCACCTACGATGAATGTGTCGGAAACGGTGAGCTTTTCGTAGAGCACCTTACTGTGTACTGCGTACTCCCGATGATTCCCAAACTAGGATGAAACAGCAGCTGTCCAGTACTACCTGGTGTTCAATAATTTTATAAATTGTTGATACCTTCTGTTTCTTGGATACTTTTACGAATCGACGATGATTTTGAATTAAAATTCATTTCTGTTGTATAGGAGTCTTTTGTAGAAGTTGATTTTATCAGAAGACAGAATGTACCAGTGCTGAGCATGAGGAAATGTATTCACATCAACACCTCACTTACTGAAACAGTTTGGTTGAGTAAGAATTTACTCTGTATTACTAAAGGCGTGAAATGATCTCAGTTTCTCCCTTATTCATGCTTCGACTTTCAGATGAGTGCCAGGAGAAGTATGGATTTAGTTGCTGCTTGAAAATTTACCCCTTTTATTTTAGAATAAGGTAAGTTACGTCAACCAAGCCGATTCGTTGTTACCACCATATGATTGTAAGACTATATCACAAATTGATAAAATCAAGTTCGTATGACATTTGATCAAAATACATAAATGACTAAATGGTAAACCACCTACTTGATGACTGAAAGGCCTGAGATTTTCTCTCAAGTAAGCGAGTATGGAAGCTAATGTTGAAGGAAACTTGAATTAGGACAAAATACTTATCCCACAATGTTTGGTTTCCAGTGTGTAACGAAATCTGCCGAGATTTATAAAAACAAGCCCAACTTTTTTCCCAATCTAATGTAACTGTCTAATTGAATTTATCTCAAATATGTGTGAATCAAATTCACCCTTCAAATTATTAATTCGTTTCATTTGTTGTTTTTCCACTTCAGTTGACGTCAATTATTGGAATACTTCTACGCATACTGTTGTTATTATAAAGTAAACTATTGTGGATACTGTGTAATCAATTATGGGGAATTTCGTTGGACCTAGAAAAAAATTATCCAGAGAAGATTTAACTTTTCTTAAGGAGAATACACATTTCACTAAAAGACAAATAAAACAATGGTACAATGGATTTATAGTAAGTTATTGATTAATTGATTGATTAAATAAATAATCGATAATTATTTTATTTTGTTTATGACCATTAAGAATGATAAGATCAGTTGAATGCTGAATGTTGGACAGTAAATGGTGGTGTTGTGACCGGTCGTAGCTTTTTAAAAGCAACTCTAATAACACTGGGATATGGGAAATAACTGCTCTAAAACAGAAGTAACTGTTGTTATTAGATGGCTATAGGCAGTCAGCAGGAAGCCTTGGACACCACCTAGGTTTCGTACCAGTTGGCACTCATCAGCAAGGCATATCCACAACCTCGAAGGAACTCATATCCCTTCTGAGATTTGAACCCGTGTCACTCAGTGAGTACTGTGTCAGAAACGTTACCTCTGAGCTATTCGGGCTGGCTATTGACCTCTCGTAGGACTGTATTGAATATTTTTACTTGGACACTAGTCAGTAACCAGCTCAACGGTAACCTCTCTGACTGTAGCACTCAATGATGTGGGTTCGAATTTCAGAAGGGGATATGAACTCCTTCGAGACTACAGGTACGCCTTGCTAATGAGTGCCAACTAGCAAGAAACCTGAGTGGTGTCCAAGGCTTCCTGCCGATGGCCTCCAACCATCTAATAACAACAATTCACAGTGCATAGTGACGGCGAGCCACGTAGTTACATGGTAGGGAAATTGTCAACATTGAAACCATCATCATTATTATTTTTTGGGTTAATTTCGTATTTCCTGTTAATTGGTTATATTGAACTGAAATGATCTGTGTTTGTTGACATATCAGCTCCTAGTTCGAACTCTCTAACGATGATGTCTGAGGATGACTGTGATGTTATCTAATGAATGGTGAGTAGCAACAGAACCCACGATGCTCACTTACGCCTATTTGGAATCCATTAGCTGGATATACCTACAACCCCTGTGAGTAAAGTTACTTCCACTGAGACTGTGTATATACGTGTGCGTGTACATGGTTCCCTGTGGTGATGGTGAAGTGAAGGCTGTTATGCATCTTATCACAGTCGTGGAAATGTCATATCTGTATTGTACATCAGATGACACCGTGCAAAGATGATTACCTGAATAGTATTCATCTATTTCTCCTTACAGTCTCATTTCCATTATATTTTTTTCTATTTGCTTTATTGGTTCCATACTATTAGTAGTATTATTACTATTATCACTCCTTTGCATTGGGTCACTAGTGTGAAGACTTAAGGACAAATAAGGTCAACGCTGTGGTTATTCTATTATATTCTCTCATTTTGGCGAGTTCTATTTTAACCAATCAATTCTATGTGATGACAATATGCCAAAAACATGAATATGATCTATACTATGGTCAATTCACATATAAAATGGATGGCTTGTAGTGAGTATTCAAGAGAAATTTTCTCTGAAATATATTGAGTAATCCCTTTTCTTTTCCATTCATCATCTCTCTTAGACACTTTTAACATGAAATAAAAATTTTGACGACGAAAAATAGGTTTAACACTCAGTGTGTTTTTTTTCATCTGGCTTTTCTATGTTAATTAGTCGATCCCTATTAACAATCACGTATAACAATGCAGTTAGCAGGTACAGTGTTAATTCAGGAAGGGAACTCAATCGATGTAGTTGTGAAAAAGGATAAGGTTGGAAAAGAGTCAGATGTCGTCAGATTTAGATATTGTGACAGTAGAAGACGAAAGACTTCGTAAAGGAGCAATTTGGTATCTCTGTTTACGCAACACTTACCCAGATCTTCTGTGTAGCGTTACTTCGGCGCTTCCCTTATATTGTGTTTCTTCATCTTCCTGTTACGTCTCCCACACATCTTAGCAGCGATACATCATTTTCTTTCTCTGACATCGAATCTATCCCCCTTCTATTTGATGTTTTGTATGTCGATGAACATCTCTTTACACATTACTGATAAATCTTATAAGTAACACACGCCACTTCCAAATTATTTGGAACTATTCACCAGTACACACCTATGACTCGACAAAGCATCAAACCCGGGACCTTTAGGTCACAAGGCGAACTCGTATGCTTTCGTACCACTGGGATGGAATCCAATGGTTAACAAACAGATCAGCACTAACTTTTGTTCTCATGCCCAGTCTGATAAACCTTACTGCTCAAGACTTTCGCTGGAATTTCGGGCAACTTTGTCTTGTGTAGTCAGTCACTGGTAAGAAACACTAGATCTCTGGTAAGGTTGTAGGTGTCTGCTGACTGACCGCAGATTATTGTTTGATGCTGCTCAAAGTCTTTAAACAATGTTTCAGTGGTTTGCTTGACTTATCATTAACCCTATTTTGAAAACATTTTCTTTCTCATTCTAACTCTCTCTCTCTCTCACGAATCTTTAAAGATTCCCATTTATAATATTAGAACAAGACATATAACCGAACAATATTGTTGTTTTCAATTAGATCTTCTTCAAGCTTTACTCTAATTTACATAGATTTATATATAAAAATTTTTAACCGATGACGGGGATTTTGTGGATCAAATAATAATAATAGTGATGTGTTAAATGTTTTGAACATAGTTAATAGCGATGATTATAATGATAACGAAATATTGATAATAAAGTGTATGAGAGTGGCGATAAGAAATACAAAGGTAGTATATGTACATATGTGTATATATAGACAATTCAATAAATAAATAAATTAGGTCAAATCTTAAAAGTTACGTAATAATGAAGGTGAAGTGGACAGATAATCAGAGTTTAAATAAATATCATAAAAGTACGAAGGAGATGGAAAATAAGAAAGGGTGGGAGGGTTTTGAATAAAATTCACCTAGCCAGGCAAGCAATGCAGAGACAAAGTTAGAACAAACTTCTTTTGTTGTATGCAAAGACTAGGATTGTTCTCTCGAAACAATTTCCATAGCTTCGGCTTTGTATAAAAGAAGGATTCGAATTCCGTTCGGAAGGCTCGATGGAATGCGGTAGATAACTTTGAAGGCACTGTTTTTGTCCACTTGGTGACCGCTATCGATCAAATGAGTCAAAATAGAACTTCGTATAGATTTTACTTGACACTTTCCGAACCATGAAGGAAGATGCTCGTCAGTGCGTTTGTTAAGCTGTCTAGTTGTTCTCCCTATATAGCTTTCTCCACAGGAGCAACTAAATTTATAGATACAAATGGAAGTGGCACGGGTAGGTAACTTGTCTTTCACTTGAGCTATCATAATTGGTCGGCTCGAAAATTACAAACAAAGAGTGGCGGCAGTATAAGTCCGTTTTATCGCTCTGGATAATCTCTGATGTAAGACCTCACTAGCCACGTCCCCATTAAATTGCAATTTCATGAACAGTTATTTCTTTTCAACTGTTGTCAGTTTCCCTTTATTGTACTTGGTATTCATGTGTCTCCTTACAGATCTAATAGGATAACCCATTCGGACCAGTGTATTTTTGATGTATCCTAACTCATTTTGAAGGGAGTCATCTTTACATACCCGTCTTGCTCTATTCGTGAGGCGTCTGACCAAATTGACTTTGTATCGGATTGGTACAAAACTGAGGAAATGTGTATATTGTCCTACAGATGTAGGTTTTCTATAGACATCTCTCTTGAGTAAACCATCCTCTCTTCTGTTCAATCGGACACCAAGGAAACGTAGTCTACCATCATGTTCTTCTTCACAAGTGAAGATGAGCGATGGATGTGCATCCTTAAATTTTATTAACATTTCATCCTTGTCAGCTTTCACATCAAAAATAATAAATGTGTCATCAACATAGCGGAAATAAGAATCAGTTTTATCGACCACTTGTTGCAATGGGCCATTCTCTCTCGAGTACATCATCAACTATTCCAGTTTTATTCTAAGTATTTCCATCTCTTTTATGCACGCGTTAATAAAGTATGACAACTAGAAGTGATACATTTTCTTTCAAAGTTTTATGCTTTACATCCCATTCCATTGGCGCACTGCGAATACCGAAATCAAACTCAACTGAAATTTTAGATTCAGTCAAGATGTTAAATACGAGGAGTTAGAGAGTTGTAGACAAAATTATTTCCAAGATGAAAGATATCTATAAGAGTTAAAGGAAAGATAAGTAGCAATCATGCGTAGTGACGTAATCTAGAGAGTTGTTTTTTGATTGATGCTGCTGGATGTTGTGACTGACATCCTCTGTTAAGCTTCGCGATAACCTGGTATCAGACTGTTTTTCATCGGTAGCGTATTTCAAAAAGATATATACATATATATAATGAAATTTTCCCAATCAAGCTGCCAGCGAATGAAAAAGAAACACAGCTTAGTCAAAGTTACTTGTCTCTCACATGCTGGCTGTTGTCTTCATTTATATAGAGCCTAATCAAGGCAACAGTCATAATAGGAAGGTTAAGTAGGCTACAAGTATTCTCTACTTGTGTCTTTATTGTCTCTAATTAAATCACTATTTGGGAGCATATTTGGTATTCTGATTTCATTAGGTATGTTTCTCAGGGGAATGAAGACAGCTTATTAGACCTACAAAGAAAAGTAGGTATATAAGGGTGTTATTCATCCAATTGTCTCAATATATAAATGAAATATAAATAACATCATAGTTTAGTTAATTGTCTTTTGATAGACAGTAACATCCAGAACTTGTTTATTGTCTCTATGACTCATCATTTGGATGTATCTGGAAAATGGAAAAAGTTTAGCCTAGCACCAGGTAAGGCCGTAAATGCATTAACCTTGTAAATCGTCAGAATACATTGATAAGACAGATAATAATGGTTATATTTTCCAATATCTGCATTCCAAGTTAGTCTTACTTATTTTGACCTACATTCATATACAACAGCCTCCAAGTTCCTGAACACCTTTACCCCGAACATTGACAGAAGTCCCTCGAGTTAAGAGTGGAACACACGGCTTTAGCACATAAGATAAGATAATAGCTTTATTCCAAAACAGTACTTGTGATACAGAATGGAATTCACAGCATTTTACTACAACATTGCATCCAGTTAGTACATTAACAATAAATATACTTCT